AAACAGTATCAAAAAAGACCAAGGAATAAAGTCATCCACAACAGTATGGAACAACAAGGTGATTGTAAAAGAAACAAACTGAATATGATTATCTGCACAAAGAAGCACACGTACAAAGTAGCCATGAGAGCTACAGATACACCTAATGTTTCCATTATTTTCCCTATTTCTACACTTTTAGCTGAAAGTGTGTGGAGACTTCTTTATGTCCTGAAATTTACATAGAAAACACTTCTGCATTTGGGGGGAAAAAAAAAAAAAAAAACAACAAACCACCAACAAAAACAACACACAAAAAACACAACAAAACCAAACCATAAAACAAACAAACAAAAAACCAAATTAACAAGCAGTCTGTGTGTCGGTATCCATAGGAAGCCTAATAATTTGCCCATTGTTATAAATGCTTTGTAATTAACACATGCAGGGTTACACTTCTTTTCTGCACTGTTACATTTATCATTGTTTGAGAAGCAGGTCTTGGAAAAGAGCTTAAAACATTTATTAAACACTTCTACTTCCATTCTGTTTACTTTCTCTTGCATTTCTTGCTTGCAAACAATACTCCCAGCAGCCTGTCAAAGCTAACACAAGCTTTCAGTACTACCTGATATTTAATAAAACACAATTGATTACATTAGTAAAACCAATTTTTCCTATAATTTCTAATTTAAACTCATGTTTCTGATTTAAGTACTTGAAACTTCCATGCCAAAATGGTCTGCAAACTCTTAAAGGGAAGTATTATCCTAAAGTTATACTGCCCTGGCTGCAGAGCATTTGAGACACTCAAGAAACAAAAACTGGACCAAAATTAACATTTCTTCCTATAATTTGTTGAAAGTGGTTTCAAAAAAATAATTGCTCATTCCACTGAAGCATTTAACAAGTAATTATTTATTGAACAGAAGACTGAGTTACTTTTATAGGAGAGGGCTGACAAATAACTAAGAGCTTTACTCTTCCATACCTGGTGATGTTTTTGTCTGACTTGACAGATCAATCTGATTGGCTTTGTTAATCATCTTTTAATACACGGTTCTTACTCACACATAATTTGTTAAAATTATTTCAACTTGTAAAACATTAATTTTTGTGTACAAAAAGATAGCTTCTCATAACAAGAAATAGATATGTCATGAAACATAGATTAAGAAAAATACTGAACTTGTTGTACCTGTTTAGCAAAAAATATTGTATCCAGTCTGGAATCCTGAACAACAGAACCTGCTGGTTCCTCCCCAGGCTGCCACTTGAAGAGGAAAATCAGCCCGTGTACTGGCCTAAAAAATAAAATTGATAGGGGGAAAAAAAAAAAAAAAAAAAAAAAAATCACATTTACAGATGAAAAATATCAAAGCCAGAAATCTCTACTATAGTTTCACTGTATGCTGGTACAGTAATTATGTTAATTCTGTCTTTCTAAACAAAGGGAAGTTGCACTAAAATTTTCAGATGTGGCTTTTTAATCAGACAGAACATACCTCAGGTTTCTTTCCATACATGCTAAACAATCCCAATCTGAATTAGCATGCAGTCAGTAATTTTCCTAATTCAGGACCAGTTTTCCTGGTTCATGTAACTATTACAGTTGTACAACACTCATGTGAATTTGTCAGTCATAAATCGGTATCAAAACATTTGTCAATCATATACAAGAGCTAGAACTAAAGTTTTAGTAATCTTTTAAGGCACAAATAAAATATACAAAGAGAAGCCCTTGTGAAACTTCATGACGTTAACTCTCAGATAACAGAAATCCATTTTTCTTTTCTACTAAAACTGTGTTTCGCTTTTGAGACTGCATGTCTTGCATAGTAAATAGTTTTTTCTTCATGTCACACTGTATTTAGTATTCCTGTAACCCAAAAATTTATTAAAGGAAACAAGCCTTACAAAATCTACAGCTACGTTAATACGAAAACTTATTCATCATATTGAAGAGGTAAGACATATGGAGAAACCTGAATTTAAGGTCACTGCCAGAAAGATGCCATAAAAGGTTTATCTACAGAAGGTAAACACAGTACCGTAATACTGCATAACAAACTCTTCCTAAGCTCTGACCAGAAAAGTCAGAGATGTCTTTTTAAACAATGGGTCCACTGGGGGAACTTGAAAAATGCTACATGTTATTATATACTTTAATTTTTAGTGTTCAAGTTGAAATACTACACCTGTGCGTGGGAAGGAAGCTGGTCATCACTCAAGACTAGAAAGATATACATCTGACACTTCAAGCAAGCAAAGCTGTTACTTTATGAACAAAATAGGTAACGTTCTGATGAAGTATCATATGAATTACATAGTGCAAACAGTAAATAAACCACTTCTCAAGTAACATTTCTACCATTTAGGTGTCACTTGTCAAATATCTTCACTCAGACAAAAATTCTAAAATTGTATCTTCTGTATTAACCCCTACATCTTCTGAAGGATTAATTATACAAGCATAGTATATCCACACAGGAATAGAGTAAAGTCTAGGATAGATGACATTTTCCTCTTAAAATTTTGTATGTGAGCACAGATAACAGCAGATCATGAGCAAAATGGTAAAAGAATCAATATTGCCTAATGAGGGCAGAACTGTTCCCTATGATATCAGTCATTGTCAAGACCATTTGCCTTCACATACATATGGAAGTGGTTCTGCAGGAAAAACAAGTTACAAAAGTATGTAAGTACAGTACATTAACTTATTCAAGGCAACAGATGCAGTATCAGGTATGTGAGAAAGAAGGGAGATAAAACAAGGAACAGAAGTTTGTCAAAGTATTCGTCAAAGGATGTAATATAAACCAATGACAAAATAATTAAAAATCAATTTTCACACTCTAGCTGCTATTAGCATCTCTTTCCAAAACCAGAAAAGCGGGATTAAGTATGAAGGTGTTAATAGAAAGTAGTTTAATTGCTAGATATTCGATGAAATCCAAATACTAATCAGCTTCTGCAGAAACTGAAGGGGAAAAAAAAAAAGCAAACAAAATAATGCCACCAAAAAAACACCTGAGTTTAGTTCATATTCTTTCAGCGACTTCAGACAAATGTGACTAGAACCCATGTAGATTAGAAAAGTGCCTTACTTCAATTTTTCAAAGTTCTCCGGTTCCAAACTCCATATCTCTTCAACTTGTGCTCCTCTACAGCCTGAAACAAGAAGAGATACAGGCTTCTTCAACTATCCCATTTAAAAGGGATGCAGTCAGTAAAGACAAACACATGAAAGAACTATGGTAACATTATGACTTGTACGTCCAAATTATGGAAAAGTCTATTTACAGGCTTTAATACCTATTCATTTAAAAAACCCAAACAAGACAGGTCAAGAGACATTATTTCAGGAATCTCTCCTGTACGGTGATGTTATCTTTATAACACAGCTGCATTTAAAAAATAAGCAGATAAGATAAACGTATCTTGGGTCACCTTATGCCCTTTGCTCAACTGAAAATGCTACTGTTTTAAAAGTCATTGTCAGCTAGTCCACATAGGAGCTTAAAATATCTCCAGAGAAAGACCCGTAGTAGCAGGCTGAAAATACTGTAAATGAGACACTCCGCAAGATGCTTGCTTAAGAGAAAGCCCCAAAAGTTCAAATACTTAGTATATGGAATATTAATCTATTAACTAAATAGGAACACAAACAGAGAAGCAAGCCTGGATTTCACTTATGAGGAAACAACATGACAACATACATCAATATAACCTAGCATAAAGTAATTTTGCTTCTTTAGCCAAAACCCTGCGTAGACTTCTATGTCGCTATAACCGTAGAGCCGCAGTATTGCCAACAATATTAAAAGCGGTTCAACATAAAACTTAGCACTCGGCGAGCCAAAGCAGCCCCTCGCAGGCTACGCAGCCCCCTGCCAAGCACCCAGCCCGGCTCGGCCGCAGCCCCTGCCCGTACGGCCCCTTCCCCGGGAAGCTCCGCAGCCGCGGCAGCCAGCAAACGCCCCCACCGCGCCCCCGGCAGACCCGGGCCTCCCGCCCCGCGCCGCGGCTGCTCCCGAGCTCTCCGGCAGACGCGGACAGACGCCCGGGGCGGCCGGCCGGGCCCCGCCGCTCCCGGTCGCCGGGCAGGGGCTGCGCGGCTGCCCCCGGCCGATGGCGGACCGCTGCCCGCGGGGAACGGGCGGCGCGGGCCGCCGGGGGAAGCTCCGGGCGCTGCGAGCGCGGCCCGGGCCCGGGCGAGCCGCGTTGGCGCCGTCCCGCACTCGCGCGGGGAGAGCTGCGGCTACCGGCGGGGCCGCGGCCTCAGAGAACACACACCCCCCCCCCCCCCCCGCCTGCCCTGCGGCGCCGCTCCCGCTTCTCCCTGACCGAAGCCCTTGATGAGCTCCGTGAAGACGCCCGGGTCGCTCTCCATGAGGCACCACTCGCCGGCGCTGCTGCCCCCCGACATGGCGGCGGCCGGGCCGCTCCCTCAGGCTGGGCGCCGCCGCCGGCCGGCTGAGAGGCGAGGCCGAGGCCGAGGCCGAGGCGCGCCGCTCCCTTCCCGGCAGGCCCCGCGCCCCGCGCCGCGCCTGTCATCGCTGCGGTGAGGCGGGGCGGGGGCAGGAAGCGGCGGCGTGGACTGGATCCGGGGCAGACACCGGCACCGCCGCGGAGGGGCCGCCCGCGGCTGCGCGCCCGTGGCGGCAGGCGGAAAAAGAGAAAAAAGAAAAAACACACACACACACAAAAAAAAAAACCCAAACAAAAAAAACCAACCAAAAGAAAGCAAACCCCGCGCCGCGGCTGAAAAGCGGTTGCGGCTCCACTGCGGGGCTCCATCCGGGCACTGGGGGTGCGGCCGCGGGGGGCGGTGGGCGCGGCCCCATCCGGGTCCCGGGGATGCTGTCAGGGCGCCGGCGGGGCGGGGCGGGGCGGGGCGGGGCTGCGGGAGACGCGGAGCCGCCGGAGCGGCACCGGGAGCGGCACCGGGGCCCGCCCTGCCTTGTCCCGCCCGCCCTCGCGCCCGGAGCCGGCTCCGCCACCGCTCCGCCGTTCCAGGTGCTCTGCCCGCCCCGTCGCTCGGCCGCCGCCGCCGCTCCTTGGGGCTGCGCCACTGCTCGGCGTCGGAGGCCGGGCGGGCCCCTCCCCGGCCGCGGCCTCGCAGGCAAGTCGCGGTTCCCGGGGGGCTGCTGAGGGCGGGGGGAGCGGGCCGGCCCCGGCCGGGCAGCGGCGCGGCGGGGTGTGCGGGGGGGTGGGCCGCCCCCCACCCGTGTCAGCCGCGGCGGGGAGCGGGCGGCCTCGCCGGCGGGGCTGGCACGGGCGGTGAGGGGAGCCGGCGAGGCCAGCTGTGTCCGTGAGCACCTCCCGCTTGGCACCTGGGCGCGGGCACCCCCGCGAGAGGGGCAATGGCGGGTCTGGCGCTCCCCGTCTGCTTCGCCGGCGCCTCTGCCAGCGGTGTGCAAACCGCCGAACTCGCAGGTTTTCGCGTAGCAACTGGACGTGCTTTTTCCTCGTAATTTTCTTCTACGTCAGCTAAGCTACCTTTTCTCTCCAGACGACGACATTTTTAAGCAAATTCTGTAGTAAATTTTTCTTGAGCTAGTATGTGGTTCGTACAGTCCGGTATCTCCTGTACAGTGTCACCGTACCATTTGTGATTTGGGAAACGTTCTCCTAGCGTTCCCGTTTGCATCGAGATGCTTATTTTCTGAAGTACGAGGACTCGCGTTGTGTTCAGAACTCTGCTGTATTGCAGGTGTGCTTCGCTACAGTTTTAGCTCAGTGTGGTGGTTATAGTCTCTGCTCAATAAACTAGAGGACATTTATAAGCTTCAGTTTGGTGCTTATACAAAATTTTGAGAGCGGAGTGGGAGAATGCAGTTTTTTATAGAATTACATGTGTATAGTGTTGAAGTATTTGAAGTGTTGTCTGTAAAATATTAATGCATTTTTTTTTTTCATAAAAGAACTTAGTCAAACCTGTAGTTCTACCTAAAGCTTTGTGGTTTGGTTTGTTTGGGTTTTTTTGTTGTTGTTTTGAGGTTTTTGTTTTGTTTCGTTTTGTTTTGGTTTTTTAATATGTACCTGAAACTTGTACTGCTAGACATTTTATTTCTTAGGAAAAGTAGGGGTCAATTATGAAAGTCATTGAACATAAACAGAGGTTAACTTTGCAAAACTCAATCATGTTATGGTACAGCAACATAAATATATTGACTTACACCAATCAAGATGTAAGTGCTGAGCAGGCTCTTTCAGACCAGAAAAAGACATATTTTACTTACAGATTAATTGATATGGTGTTTGGAATATAAAAAAATTTCCCTCAATGTTTTTCTCTTTGATTAGTAATGGTGAACAACCATGACTTTTAGTTCACTTTGCTTTATAAAGTATCTAGTCTATGACTTTCAAGGCTTTTCGCATTGCTTTTTGCATTCAGGTAGCTCAGAAGTTGGAAATGTTTATGGAACCAGAATATCATTGATAAATCCTCTGTGACTGTTTGAAAGTCAAGTTCACTGCTGCACCTCAGCAGACTTAAGAGTAGGCTTATGATAGAGCATACATGAAATGCGTATTTGCATTTATCCATCTGAGAGGGTGGAAGTTGTCTGTGTTGTACAGGTGTTAAAGGAGGAAATAAGCTTGAGGTCTGGGCGGAGGAGAGGGACTGGTTAGAGGGAGGGTATAGTTTTGGAAATTTTGATGTTGAAATATAAAACGGAAGCTAGAATTGGCCAGTATGATTTAAATAGTTCAACACTAAGTGCTTTTCCAGTAGTTTAAAATGATGAAGTTTAAAATTGATACTTCTTGTGCGGCTGTTCAGTAGTGAAACTACTGGTTTGCATCAGCTATTGAGGACTTCAAGGGTAATTTTTAAAACATATATTTGTGTTAAAGAATTTACAATTCATATTAGGATCCAAAAGACTCCGTTGGTTTGAAGCTCTTTTTAAATCCCTGGGAAAGCAACAAGCCATTTGAGATAAGTCTGGTTTGTGTCCTAGATTGCTTATCAGAAGGCATGAAAAACTTTATTAAAGGTTTCAGAAGACTTGTAGGCATTTTTATTAGGGTAAGTACTGCAGGTGATTAATTCCACTGTGAAATACTGTTTTTCGTCTGAGAGGACTTTGAGGGCTGACTGAAAATGAAGCTTTACAAAAGGTGGAAATCGTAACAGCATCAGTTTCTGTAGCACATAGTATATTCCTAAGAAGGCAAAGTAAAGAGCTAACTTTCAGAAAAAACTCAAAGCGTACATTTGCAACTATCTTAAAATATGGGTGTTTGTGTCAGAAGCCTATGATGCTAGCACATACCTCTTTTCAGTGCTGTGAGTCCATACAAGAGTAAACATAAAAATTATCCATTTTGCACGTGTGTAAGTTAGATTCGTTATATGGTGTAATACAGAAGTGAAGCAGGAGAATTTTTTTTCCTCTGGTGGTTGGCTCTAAAGTTCTTCAATACAATACAGTTAACAGCACATTGCATATTCTCAGCTACCAACGAAGTAGTGAACTGTTTGGCTTTCAGGATGATACCTTTGGTGGAAATACTGATCTTGTGTTACAGTATTTTATAGATAAATCTCGATTGCAAGGCAGATAAATTTTACTTGTAATTTTAGAAATGTTATAATTATTTCATTTAGGTTTTGTTCTCATTCTTAAGGTGGTGATGACAATGATAGCTAATTCGTATTACTGACTATAATAATGAGCATGTGAGGACAGGTGAGGATCTCCAAGTGAGAATTAAAATAAAATAGAGATATCGGATGGAACCTGTGCAAATGGAAAAATATAGGAAAAAAATCTCTAAAATATTAAAAGTAGGCCTGGTATTTCTTAATATAATTAGCAAAGCATGATCATAAAATGTTTTGTTAAGCAAAGCCATGGTCCTCCCAATTCAGTTCATGTCTTGGCAATGCATAGGTGGCTGAAAAGAGTTTTCCCATTACTCATTTCAGTGTAGTAATATTTATTATAGCAGGGTTATGAAAGATGCATCAAGAAATTATTCTCAAGATTTTACATATATAAAGATCTCGTTACTCATGCATGTTCCTTTATGCTTTCCATTCTTATTTTTGCTTCAAGATAATGGTGTTTCTCAGTATCTCTTCGTGTACCTTTTTTTTCTGGTAAATATACTAATGGTTGCTGACTGTGATTTCAGATTTTTTTGTTTGGGTGTTGTATGGTTATTATGAAACATAACCTACTCTTTAATGAAACCAGCTAATTGAAATGTATTGAAATAAAATGTATTTAGATATTGAAAAACACCGATATGGTATTCATGCATTGTGAATTACCACCCTTGTCATTTTCAGTGTATTTGCATGCTTCAGATGTCAGTGAAAAAGTCGGTTCAACCATGATGTGTATTTAAATTGGTTTGGCGGGAAACATGATTAGAATATTTAAGCACTAAGGAAAATAGCTGAGCATTGGTGCTCTGAATAATAAAATGGAAGATACTTCTTAGTTAATTTTTAACAGAAACCTGAATTTTTAAACTAGGTATCAGTATATGGCTTTTATTTTTATGATTTTAGCAGCATATAGAATATAATGGGAACACTGATGCTTATTTGTTATTTAATTCAGGATTCAGACAACACATCACTACAAATCGGCAAGAATGAAGGGTACATTTCTAATCGCTTGCAGAGAAATGAAAATTCTGAGTCAACTAGAAACTAGGGAAGTTGTTTATAAATTAGTATGCTGCTTAACTAAACTAGGAAAAAAAATCTGTGTCTACATTGGTGACATTTATTTGTGCTAGTTTATCCTGGTAGATGAAGCAAAATGGCTTGTATCTTGAGTATCCAAACAAGCATGTCAAAAGTAGATATCCCCAATACTTAAAAACAGTCAGGTGGATTTCTCTGAAATGTCATTTGTGTGTGCTCAGACTTCAGTGTATACATATTTTAAGATCTAGATGCAATTTGATGGAATGGATTATTGGTCCTTTTTTTTTTAATAGGACCTCTTGGTGCTATTTATTGTCTTTTTGTTGTTTGGTAAGAAGTAAGAAAAACTGAATTTATCATTGTTACATAAGTGTTTTGAAGACAGTGACAATGATGAGTTTTCTTCCCCTTACCCTGGTGATTTCATTTCACCTACATGTCTTTCAGTTTAAGTGTTATGGCTTGATTTTTAACATGCTAGGTGTTCTCCAAGTAAGAGCAATGTTGTCGCTTACAAATATAACAGCTGAACTCTCTTGCAACTCAAGAATGTATAAAGACCTGAAGGATTGTGAATTATTTTGCTGTTTTTTGCTTCTTAACCTCAAATGTAAAGCAGTACAGAATTAGTTATGTGTGCATGTTTTCTTGGATCTCACTTGAAACAGCAGACTATTTGAGCCTGTAGTAAAGATAATATTTTCTTGAACTACTGTTGGTTGTTAAAAAGCTGTTGTCTAAGCCTCACTGAAACCCACTAAACAGTTTTTCAGTATTTTAGTTCTTTATTTTAAGAACGTGCTGCTTCAGTTGGTCAGTATTACCAGTTCTTCAGCAAAATAGCGTAGGGCAAGACCTGAGTTTTGCGCAATGTAGTATGCAATCCAAAAATGCACCTAAGGAAGTGGTATAGCGTATTAGTGGCAAAAGGGCATAACACCAACCACTTTTTCTGTGTGCCGCTTACTGGTTGCTAAGTTCATTTAAAGGAAATAAATTTGTCACCATTGTAACTCAAAGAGGTTTTTTGTTTATTTCCGCTTAACTGGTATGTATCATGGCACACAGTGTATACTATTATCTATACCCTTGTAATTTTTCCTTCATAAATTTAATAAGATGTATGTACTTTGCTAAGAGTAGAGTCATCACGTTTTCACAATAGTCTGTAATAAACTTTATTATTCTTTCAACAGACCTCTTGGAAGCGTAAATAATGGAGGACGAGGAAAACCAAGTGCAGCTCCTGAATGAAAAGCAGGTGCCGAACTCTGAAAGTGGTTATGTGTGGCACATCACTGATATGAATCGACTGCAACGTTTCTTGTGTTTTGGTTCAGAAGGTGGTACTTATTACATCAAGGAGCAGAAGCTGGGCTTTGAAAATGCAGAAGCTTTAATGAGACTGATTGAAGAGGGTAGAGGTTGTGAAGTTGTTCAAGAAATAAAGACTTTTAGTCAAGAAGGCAGAGCAGCAAAACAGGAGCCCCTGCTTTTTGCTCTTGCAGTTTGTTCACAGTGTTCTGATGCAAAAACGAAACAAGCAGCATTTAAAGCTGTTGCTGAGGTGTGTTGCATACCAACCCATCTCTTTACTTTCATCCAATTTAAAAAAGATCTGAAGGAGGGCATGAAATGTGGCATGTGGGGCCGTGCACTGAGGAAAGCTGTTGCAGATTGGTACAATGGAAAGAATGGCATGGCTGTTGCTTTAGCAGTTACAAAATATAAGCAAAGAAGTGGTTGGTCTCATAAAGATCTTCTGAGGTTATCCCACCTAAAACCTGCCAGTGAAGGTAATAAATTTTTATTTACCTGAAAATACTGTGTTTTAAACCTTCTATATTTACTGTGGAACTATTTTGGAAACCCAGGTACCACTGTGGACTGATGATTTTGCAGTGATGGTATCCTGAGAACTGCACCTTAAAAACATGAGTGGTCCGATCAGAAATTGACATGTTTATCTTTAGGGTAGACAGTTTGTTCCTTCTTTTTCTTCCTTACCTCAAGAGAAGATAAAATAATACAATTCCCTCAATTTGTTCCTATTTGTTTATCAATGATGAAAGAATACTTATTTGGGAAGATCAGTTGGTTTCAAATGCGTTAGGCTCCTTACTTCTAAGGAGAGTAATACAGCAATTAAAGCTACTGCTCTCAGTTGTGTGTGGCTGACCTTTTTTTATAGCTGGTTGGCAGGTCTGAGAATGAAACCTGCTAACTCATTTGCTTGCTAGAATGATAAATGCCAGTATAAAGACAGTAATCCTGCTGGGAAAATATTTTCTTTTCAATAGGAATTGCTGTGGTCACTAAATATATTACCAAAGGGTGGAAAGATGTCCAGGAGGCTTATAAAGACAAAGCAGTTTCTGATGACACTGAAAAGCTCTTAAAGTATCTGGAGGCTGTGGAGAAAGTAAAACACACAAAAGATGAATTGGAAGTTACTCATTTAATAGAGGAGTATGGTCTAGTTAGAGAGCATCTCCTGACAAACCACCTGAAATCTAAAGAGGTAGGTAAACTTCATTAACTTTGTATTTTCTTTAGAGTTGCACTTTTCAGAGTCTGAACACTAGATTTCAATAAAAAATAGCCCTTTTGCTGTTTTTCAAGTTATTTACCCAAGTAGTTAATTTTAAATAATGAAGATCTTCATATAACTTGTACGTTTATTTTAAAATACACTAATATATGGATGTCAATTCTTGTAGTTTGGGAATCTTTTTTTTTTTTTAACCTCCTCTGGTCATAGGTTTGGAAGGCATTGCTGAAGGAGATGTCCATTTCTGTATTGCTGAGAAATTTAGGAAAGCTGACAGCAAACTCAGTGCTTGAACCACGTGGTTCAGAAGTGGCAGTAGTATGTGAAAGACTGAGAAATGAGAAACTGCTGAAAAAGGTACAAACTTTTTCGTAATCAGTGCCAGCTTTTGTGTTTTTTAGTCTCTTCCTAAATTGTATTTCTTCAGGCAACCTCTTTACAGCGTAGAAGGGGGATGTACTTTGGAGGAAAACTGTAGTTTATTCCTTTAAAAAAACAGCAGTGCAATAACTACACCTTTATTTAAAACTTGTATTTATCATTACTCATTTGATTTTTTTTTTTTTTTTTTTTCTTTTTCTCCCATCTATTTCTGAAACTTTTCTACAAATTAAGTATACTGACAGTTAGGATCTTTTCTTATATTAGGGCTATAGCAAGCTTCGCTTGTTGGGTTCATCCATTGCTCCTGAGTCTTGTAATCTAGAATCAGCGATGCAAGCTTAAAAAGTGAGTGGAAGTCACTTGTCTAGGATCCTAGTAAGTGAATGAAGAAACTAGCGTAACAGCTGAGGGGAAAAAGACAGAACAAGGAGATTTTCTCCTTTCAGGTTGCTTTACTATCCATCAAAGAGGTAAGAAGACAATAGGGAAGAGAGGGTTCCCCAAAGGGAGAACAACATTTTCAGGAATTTAATGGGAGATAGAGGGCTTTTTTCTAATGGTTTTCTGAGTTGGGGAGATTAAAATCAAGACACTTAACTTCTTCAAGACCATAGCTGAATTGAGAAGAAATACAGTAGGTCTTGGTTTTCCCATCCTGCTGCTCTTCTCTTTCTCTGGTTTATTCTTCAATCATACGTAGTTACTGAAGCACTGGAGAAGGGAGAACAAAGGTGGTGGTGCAGTACCTTGATGGAAGAAAGACAGTGGACAGGCATTCAGATTTGCTAAGGTTTGCTGCTCGTAGTTGTTAATGACTGAAACTCCCCTTGAGGAAAAAGATAACAAAACATTGATAAATCAATAAAGCAAAGATATGGTTTAGAGTACTTAGCATGCAGTAGGAAAGCAAAACCAAAGAAAATGTTTGGACCGTCCTCTCACAGTAAGAGGAAAATGAATGCTGTATTCTGAAAATAGTTTCTTTGTCCAGGTTTACTGTATCTGATACTAAAACTAGATCTAAAAGTGTTCTCTTCCTAGCTCAACTCCTTTTCCCTCATCAGGACAGGGACTTTCTCTTATCTGTGATAGAAAATAAGACTGGACAATCGTAGACAGAACTGTGAAATTTCACCAAAATTCCAGTGAGGGCATAAGATGACATTTGGAATTCACCGGAGGATTCTGGAAAGGGAATGAGGTCCATTATCAGTAACTGACAACTTTCAGTTCACACAACAGCTGTGTAAAGACTGCATGAACTCTTCAAATTTAACAAGTTTGAAGTAACAACATACTAAGCCAGAGATTTTTGTAGTATGATCTTAGTTTTAGTTTGAACTCCTTAAAAAACAAATAACAGATTTTCAAAAACTTAGTATTGATTTCTTTTGCATGTAGGGTAGAATACATCCATTCCATATTTTGGTTGCAGTAGAAACGTATAAAGCTGGACATGGAAGCAAAGGGAAGCTTTGGTGGCATCCTGATGAAGACATTTTAGAAGCTTTAGATGCCTCATTTTATAAAACTTTCAAGGTAATACAGTTCTTTAATTTGTTAAGCTTTTTAAGAATTCTCTCTTTTGTGAAAGCTTATCAAATGATTGAGAAAAGTTTGTTGGGTGGATGACAATTTTGAAACTCTATAACAAAAATCTTGGGAACTGGGATTTCATTAAACAAAGAATCAAAACTTCATGATATATTAATCTTTTGGCAAAATTCTTATCCTAACATTACTCCAGAAAGAATGAAAAAAGCCCCACTTCTAGGGTTGAAAGCAGAAGAAGGAAGAAGAAATTAATATATTAATTATGTATACCTATTTTCGTTTTTTTCTTTTTTCCTTTTAGACAATTGAACCAACAGGAAAACGTTTCTTACTTGCAGTTGATGTCAGTGCATCAATGACACAAAAAGTTTTGGGCAGCGTGCTCAATGCTAGCACAGTTGCAGCAGCAATGTGTATGGTGAGGCATTAAATTTATTTATAACTATTTGCAGCTTGAGCTGTTCTTTTGATACAAAGGTGCTCTAAAGCTGGTTAGAAATCAGAAGGAAACATATATAATATTTTTGGGGTATAGAAGATGTGACCTTGTGCCTTACTAGGAGACCAGATACTTAAAGCTACTTGCAACCAAATTCAGAAAGATCAATTCAAAGAAATTGGTTTCCAGTATAAATCAATGTGGTCAAGGCTGCTTTGTCACTTAGCTGCAAATATTTTTTTTTTTTTTTTTCAGAAAATAGAATAATACGGATTGGATTAAGAAATTTGGGGATAATTCTTGTGTGCATTTGAGTTATCAATATGGTCTTTTTATCACGATTACTTTCCCCTCAATTTGATATTCTAAAGCTTCTTGTATATTTATATAGAGAGGAGTCAAACGTGTGTTGTTGTTTAAGAATGTTTAGTGTTTTATATCAGAGGGGAGAGAAGAAATGCGGAAGTATCTGTAGTTACAGTAATTAGAGCAGTTCTTTAGCTCTGATTTTTGCCATGTTTATTTGCAGTAATATTACAGAACATTTAAAGTGAAGAGTGAAGTGTTAGTGCATAGGAAGAGACATCCTGACTTAAATACGAAAGGATATGTCATGTTGTCCGTTGGGTAGGGAATGTCTTGATTCAGACATGAGAAATTCTGACCACATTATTTTTTTTTCTTTATTCTGACTGAATTATTTTTGTCTTCTTTTTCAGGTTGTAGCACGTACTGAGAAGGATTCCCATATTGTTGCCTTTTCACATGAAATCATCCCTTGCCCACTGACAGCTGATATGACTTTACCTCAAGTATTAGTGAAAATGTATGAAGTATGTAAAAAAAAAAAAAAAAAAAAAAAAAAAAAATTACATTTAAGAAATAGGTGTTGATAGCATCAGAGCTTAGAAGTCTCAGCAGTTATGCTATACTTCCTTTGTAATCAGTTCTAGTACTATGTTTAGTCTGTATCTGTATAGTAAAATACTGTTTTTTTTTTTTTTTTCCTTTTTTTCAGAGGAAGTCCATCAAATGTCATTATTTCAACTGCCAGATATTAAACATTGCGATTTAGAATGGCAGTGTTAGGTTACCATGAGTTAGTTTGAAAAGAATATTTAAAAAATCAAACAAAAAAACCCCTGGACAAAACTGAAATTAGATTTATAAGTGAACTGTTGTTTAACAAAGAAGCCTCTCTGTGTGGTAAAGCATGAAGCTTACATAAAAAGTAATTTTTCCATGGACTACTAATTTCTGGATTAATGTGTTTTCATGTATACTTTTTTTTTTAAGATTCCAATGGGAACCACTGATTGTTCCCTTCCAATGATATGGGCTCAAAAAACTCAAACAGCTGCTGATGTCTTCATTGTATTTACTGATAATGAGACCTTCGCTGGAAATACTCATCCTGCAGCAGCTCTTAGAGAGTACAGAGAGGTAAATGTACTTCTGACTGTTTATAATTGATGAATGCAGTAAAAAATAAATACCATTTCTAAAAATGTTTTAGACACTGAACTAGATGTGACTTTTTTCAGTAAATAATTGTATATTGTTAAAAACTGATATGTTCTGCAGTTAGGCAGAATTAGTGCACAGATTGCACTAACTGTCCTTATTTAAAACCACTGAATTGCTAAAAGGATCTGTGATTATCTTACTCTGCTCAGTGTACTGCAGTATCAATGAAAATTTGTTTGGTATTCAGGGAATATATGAATTGTTGCATTCTACATATAATTGCTTGAATACAGAATAAAATTCAGGTCACAGAATTAAATTTAACTTTGATGTCTGTAGTAGATACCACAGTTCAAATGAAGTAATGAAGATAAGCCTGTAGGGAAGGTGTCAATAGGATGAGGTAACAGTATCTGGTGAAGAAAGCTCATTATGTTTAAAGGAGGTACTCAGAGCTGTGCAGCTTCATAATTTTAAAATAGAAAAATACCTTCTGGAAGCACATTGCTATTAGAAGCTCTTTTTTAATCAGCAAACAATCTTTTATGCTTTAAAGGAACTATTTTTTAAACTGCAAAAAGTACTTTTTGGCAAGCACATACGTATGGAAATGAATCTTCAGAACGTGTCCACCGTGTTGAAATTAGTACCAAAATATCTTTAAGTTGCCCAGTGCATTTTAGTTTTCTTAGTTGAGATTAGCTCTTGTTCCTAGATTTGTTCTTTAAACAAAGTGTTCCTGTACTCTGGCTTTCAAGCCACTTGCTTTCTTTTACCTTACAGCTTGCTAACCTTCACATTCAGTTCATTCATCAGAATTGTCCAGGCCGCAGTAGTTGTATTTGCTGGGCTGACATTTGGAAATACTTGCCTTAGACAAGAATACACTCTTGGACTCCTATTAGATGATTTGATAATTATTATTGAAAGTTTTCTTCCAGAATGAACTGCAGAATAGGAAATGCAATGTTTGCATTTGAAATAATCTATGAATCTTAGTATTGCAAGAAAGTGGTGTTAATATACCTCACTGTAATTATTTCCATTTATTTAAATATATCTACTGCAATTTAAGTACCATGTTAACAGGCAGATTGCAATTCTGGTTATGGCATATCTAGTTTCTGTCAGTATGCCAATTCAGACAGTGGTTTATGCAGGCAAGATAGCAAGATTTGGCCTTTTGGCATGTTTAAGTTACTGTGTATGTGTGTTCTGATTTTTATTTTTTTTTTTTGTCTTTTCTCTAGAAAATGGGTATTCCTGCTAAACTGATTGTTTGCGGAATGACCTCAAATGGTTTTACGATCGCAGATCCGGATGACAGAGGCATGTTGGATATATGTGGCTTTGATACAGGAGCTTTGGATGTTATTCGAAACTTCAGTTTGGATTTGATTTAATTTTCTACGCATCTGCTCTTCCCAGTGGGTCCTTTGCTGGCAACAGACTTCACCATGGGAACTCCCAGCCAAATACACTTTATTAGAATATGGCACATTATATACATATCAGAATGTTACCTTTTTGTGAAGGGAAAACAAGAAAAGCAGATGAGAAATCTCTTTTCTATTTTTTTCCTGATGCACACAATTTAAAATAACAGTGGGAAGTTTGCTAAAAGTAACTACAGGGTTACATAATACGTAATTTAATTTCATTTATAATAGATTATAAATACTGAGAGATTTTTAATTTCCCCCTCCAAGTCCTCCACCCCACTCCATTGCTGTGGAGTGCTTGTTTGCAAGAATAAATTGATGAATGACTCTTAGAATGGGGGAGGAAGAAAAAGTGGGTTTAATATTTTTAATAATGTCAGCTTTTAACAGCAACTTTGTTGAGAGGGATTTTTCTTTGGGCCTTTTTTAATCTTTGTATTTAAAAAAAATTACTAAGGTTCAACAGTTTCCATTGTTACAGTTCAAATCTACAAAAGAAGTATTTTCTGGCACATATAGGACCATGTGACTGTGATGCAGTACAAAAGTTACCCAGTGAAATTTTATACTGATAAAACTGAAAGTGGAAGAGCTCATCATAATCTTCTTCTATTTAGATTTTTGTCTGCATTTTCAGGAGTAAAGTGTAATTCTCTTTAGATAAATTAGGGGGCAGTTTCTGTACAAGGCAGTTTTGGAAACACTGTTTTCAAATTAACGTGTTTTATAGGAAGTTCTAAAACTGTTTTTAGTAGAAAAAGACCTTGGAAGTGTCTGGGAAGGCACATTCAGTCCATGCTATAACTTCAGGAAGCATCAACACACTTGGTGAGGACGATCAACACGTGCATGTGTCTTGGCCTGTTCTTGAAAGCTGAGTGATAACAACCAGAAACAAAAAGCTACATTTTCTTCAAAAGAATGTATTCAGTGATACAGAAACAATCTTCCTAACAGAAGTATTTAATTTTAAAATATTTTTTGTAGATTGACGTTACTTCTGATTTCATAAATTAATTCAAGCTAACATTTTTCAAAACTACCTCCAGTTTATAGTGACCAATTCTTAAAAAGTTTTATGAAATGTACAGTTGCCTCCTTCATGTTATCAAAATCTTGTTTAGGAAGTGATTGAAACTGGATTTTTTTTTTTTCTTTTTTTTTTTAGTCCGAAACTAAGAGTGTGAGTAAATAAGGAGAAAGCTAGTGAATCTCTTACCACTTTGGGACAGGAATTGATAGCAATTGATGTGTATATGTATTTAATTCTGTGTGTGTGTTTTTATATATGTGTGTATAGGGGGAAGTTAAAAGATCTCTTTAGTAGATCACAATCTTAGAAGATGGGAAAGGTCTTGTTTTGGGGTTTTTTTTTGTGATGTTTTTACAACTTGCCCCAAGACGTAGGTATGTCAGCCTCTTATGCTAATTCTGGCTGTTTGAAACAGTGAATTTGATGTTAATTTGAAAAGAATTACCATTTATAAAAATAACCCAGTTGTGGTAAATGACATGTAAGACTGTATTTTTCTGCCTAAAACTCAAGCTTTTAAATGTAAAATTCAAGTTCATATTATACTTTTGATATTTGTAACACTTTTCATTATGGCTCGTACGTATTGGTGAGAAATTCAAAGCTCGCATACTGTAGGCTGGATATCTCTTTTGGTGCTAAAATGTGAGATTCCATGTTACTAAAGGTATTCTGCTACACGCTTATACTCTACCTTAATGAATAAATCAAAACAGCGAGGGAAGCCTTTTCTGACATTAAAACCGTGGCTTAAAGAACTGATAGTAGGAATGATACCTTTCAGTGGACATGAATGTATTTACTTCTGAATTATCACTGCTTTTACGACACAGCTCTGGAATGCTTGAAGAACACAGGACTGCCACCAGCTTGTCAGGTGATGTGTAGAAAAAACAAGTGTTCCTACAAAAGCTCAGACATAGCACTTGGAGTTTGAAAAAGAAAATTATCCATGAAAAATTATCCTATGAAAAATTTCTTACCACTTTTAGTCTCCTTTCTAAATAAACACCATGAATATGGGGAGTAAACTCATTTGCTCAATACATGTTAGTATTTCAAGTAAATGCACTGATGTTTTGGGGTTGGTTTTGGTAGTAACGTGTTTTAAATTACACAGTAGTCAAACATCTGATTAGGTGTTTCCTGCTAAGCTAGAGATGTTGAAAATAACTGATAGATAAGTATCTTTTGCAAGTACTTTTTCTTATTTGGAGTAGTATTTGTGGAGTTCATAGGAAATACTTTGGACTAAATATAAAATGAAAAACAAGTATTTCAAGTAACTTTGTGCAGTTAATTGCATAAATTTACTGCAAATAAAAGATTAGACTAGTTACTAACAGATTGAATGAACAGTTAGAGTAGTGTTGTATCTTTGAAAGCAGTCCAGTTTAAAATACGGTTGCTTGAACTAGAGTATAAGTGAAGATGAACTTTTCAGTAGAACTTACAGAAAATGTAGCGCCCTGTATCTGTTGACACTGGATAGCTATGCACCATGTTAAAGATAATCATCCATGCTGGAGTATGTAATATGCTCCTAAATATTTACCGTATCTCTGTAGTAAAAAATCTTGTTAGAAATTGAATATTCTGAGTAGTTGGTTATCTGATGTAAAACCAGGACCAATGAGATCATGTTGTCATCTGTTCCTCCTTTAAGATTTTCGGAGAGGGGAAACTGAAGCAAATGCTGACAGCTGGAACTTTACAGTGTGTTGACCTTTGTTTCTACCGTTTTCTGTTTTTTTTTTTTTTTTTTTTTTTATTATTATCTTGCAGTAAGGGACATAGAAGAATGGTGCGGCTTATTCCTTTTCCATAGACTTGATCTTTTTTGTCTGCCCATATACAGAATTTTAGGGGACAGTATGACTCATTTGCTATAACAGAAATTTTCCTGACTTTAGTTTTTAGTTATTAAATTGATAATTTCCAAAATGATATCTGGACATGTAAAGAGGGAATAATTGATGTAATGTTTTTAAAAAATTAGTGAGCTAAGACAAAGTTGCTAAGCTTAAGCATTAGTTCAGTATACAATAAATAACCTACCCTTTCACCAAAGAGGACACGCTGACTCTTTCAAGTTAACAGTGGTGTTTGCATTGGAGGAACACTTTGACTAACAAAACAAAAATGGGGCTATCATTGTGCACTGCAGTTTACCAGTAAAAATTGAACAGGGACGCATTTAAAGATAATGAATGGTTTGGATAAAATTAACTGAAAAAAAAAAAAAGTCTAAATGCAGAGTGCAACTGTGGACTGGGTGAATGCAGGTTTCGTGATATCTAACAGAATTAATAGGCTTTTGGTTTGACTGCCATTTCACTGTGAACCCCTTAACAATTCTTAAATATTAGACTTACATCTAAGACGATAATGTTCAGGCACTTTAAGAAAGAAGGGAAGGATGTAATGGTTGGAAGCACAGCAGCGGTAAAACATTCTTCTGTAATGAAGGGCTGTAAGGAGCAAACATCAGAAGCCAGGTTTCTTCATGGAAGGGATACAGTCAAGAATGTGGAGAGAGCAGAAGGCACTCAAGATTTCTGAAAAAACATGCAACGCATACATTAGCTTTGTGTAATAAATTCAATAAAGACGGTAATAATTTTGCCAAGAAACAGAATTTTGTGTCAGGAATTTTAGACCTGTAGCAAGGAGGAGGAGGGTTTGGGATGCTTGTAGAATTACATTGCAGGCAAAATATATGGATCTTTACCTACAATGCTGTGTGTCTAAAAAGGAGAAGCCTAAAAATAGGTGTAGATCTGAAGTCAGCAGGGCCAGTCTAAGTGCCCACTATGTAAGTGCCACTAATAACTGGCCCTAAAATATTTTGCTGCTTAAAACCACTGTTAAACCTGTCTGTTACGCAAATCATTAAGGGGGTTGTGTTGTTCTTTGTTGTTTAATTGAGTAAGGCATTCAAAGGCTATTCAACAAAGTATATGTTCTTGGCTTAAAAAATACACCAGCAGTTTTGGAAATGTATTTTAATAATGGCTCTATCTGTAAAAACACTAGGAAGATATTTTTCTCCATTGCAAAATGCCGTGCTGCTTAATCCCTTTTCTAACGCGTAGCCACCCTACCAGAAGCATTAGTATTGGTTCCACTTAGTTTCTTTCTTGTATTACCTTTTTGCTTTGCCCTTCCTTTTTGACGTTAATGCTTTTTCTCTGTTCCCATCTCCTTGTCACCTCAGACCTTGTACTTGAATCTCTTTTCACGTAAAAGCTCTCATCCGTTCCTTTTTTTTTGCCTCTCCTGCCTTCTTGCTGTCATTGAGCCTGCTAGCTTAGCTAAATAACTAGTATCAGAACTGATGTCATAGTATCTCTTAATTTTAAAAACTGGACACATTTTTTTTTTAATTTGATTATATAAATCTCTTATAAAACATTTAATTTGCTCTGTCTATTAGATTTTTGGTAAAACTTTGCTTTTATCACTGATCTTAACACATACTTTGTTTAATTACAAAAATCAAACATCTGCCTGTGAATAAAACTTAAAATAGGCTTTTCAAATATAAAGCTTTTCTCTGGAATGAGTTCAGTGGGTTGGAGCTTTCCATTCTTTAAATATTACCAAGATCCTGGTACATGCAGAATTAGAGAAACATTTAAATTAATATTCTGGATAAATGGGCAGTTGCTTTGCAGTATTGATTAGAGAAAATACTCAAAGAATAGGATGTACAAGTAAACCTAAGTGAAGAATCATTTGTCTTGCTTGTGCTTTGAATTTTCCTTTTTTTTTTTTTTTTTTTGAGCTTTTAAGTAGTTTATAGGTTTATTGTGCTATTTGCAGTGGGTCACAGTGGACAAATGCTGTGAGTAAGCTGTTTTAATAACTTGATTGCTGGCATGGTAGAGATACCATCTTACCGTGATACAGTACAGTGTACGACATTGCTGAGTAAGAGTTATGGGGGGAGGATTAAAGCACTAGGACAGTGTATTATGTATGTGCTGCTCTGAGAGCTAAGATTTTAAATTAGCTAATTTCAGCAGAAGGTATGGTGTCTTTAAATATGTGTGCTTTCACTTGGAATTAAAATTTTCATACTGTAAAGTGTGGTTTCTTTAGGTATTTCTGCATTCTGATTTTAAGGTTAAATATATATATATTTGCATATATATATATGTGGTATGTTCAGAACTTTTACAAATGCTTCATTAACAAATAATGAACATAAATAGCTGTTTTCCTATTGTTACCAGCTTCTTAGACTTAAGCACAACTAGTTACAAAGAAAATGTAGTTTCTATTACATTCTCCTATAAAAGTGCAGTTCTACTCTTTAGAAATAATTCTGTATATGGAAGCAAGAGATGGGTGCATTCTCAGCTCTACCTACTTACTTAAATAACTTGACATTTGTTTCCAGCTTCTCATGCTTCTTAGGGGCATGGTATTTAAGTGGAGTGAGCAGGTTTGTCTTAAGTACAGACTCTAGTAGATATTTTTCAACATTAAGGTCCCAGGGCAAGCATTATTTTAAGATAACCAGCTTTGTCCTGGAGACAATACCAAGCAAAAACTACAGAAATTTTTAATGACTGTTTCTGAGTCCCTCTACTTTAATTTTCTAGAGTAGAACCACACTTTACTGCCATATCATGTTTAAATAACTTAAACATAACATGGCTTTGTGCCGTCCAGTGATTAAAGGCACCGTCTTGCTGCTACTTTCTATGAAATGATACAAAATTAACGAGAAACTATTTGGATAGGGAGCCTTAATATGGTTAAAAAGAAACACAATTAACCCTTTGGGTGCCTTAAGACATATCTTCTTTAATAAATGGGCATTCACTTGGATCTGAAGGCATACAGCATATTTTCTCAACAGCTGGAATAGAATATTGCCTTAAGTGACAATGCCCTGGGATTTCTGAAACTTAGAACTCAAAGGGTTATTTTAGACTACTATTTTTTTTTTTAAAAAAAGGGGAACAAAATGAAAAGGTCTTTGAAAAATTTCTTTGCATACTATTAGTTATTTTTACATGATGGATGCAAAATTGCTGTTAACCTTGTGAGAAAATGTAACTGGCCTAAGAGTTCTACACAGAAAAAGAATACTTGATTAACACTGTATGTGCAAAATAAACTGCTTTATTAAGTATAAATTTAGGGAGTAATGCACATTTATGTGTGTTTACCATGATGAGTGTGTCCTTGTAAACAAAATTTTAATAAGGCAGTGATGAAACTAGCAAAATACACTAAATGGCAATAATAAAAAATGTAACGAGGTCAGTGTGTTTAATTAGCTCATTACACATTAAAGATGCACAGTGCAGGCAACTGTATACTAAAAACTTTCCAGAAACTTATTTCAAACCCACATCACAAAAATGAAGCAGTCAAATTTAAATGATACTCTTACAGTCCTTGTTATCTGGAGTTGGAAGATAAATGTGATGCTTTTTTCCCTTGAAGGGGGGAAAAAGTAATTTAGGTGCACGCAGCGCTGAAAGCAATGGAAATAACAGGAGTCTTATTCACAAGTGAGTAAAAAATCAGTGACTTAATGTTTTTTTTTCCTAAACTGTGCACCTTCAGTAGTGTAATGGTCTCTTTTACTGAAGAATGGGATATAATTTTCTACTTGCATATGATCGGTCTTGAAATAACCAAGAGTTCTGGCATTGTCTGGTCTGACTTTGGGTGTACATTGTACTGAAACTATTGAGTTTTAGACATTTTTTCTGACATTTAACTGCAAGTTAAAATTGCTAGTAAACTGCATTCCAACTGTAGAATTTAAGTACTAAATAAACTCTATGCATATTAGATTCATTTTACTTTGTCTTAAGTTTCATAATAGTGTTCGATTGATCATAACGTAATTTGCAGTTGCACAGTTCAGTGACAGGACATTCCTGAACGACACTATATAGACTGATACTTCATAGTGCAGCATAAAGATGAAAGCTGCAAGAATCTTTATTCCCTTTTTGGTAGCAACTTGGATGTGCAGTTCGGTAGCTAGGTGATCAGACACCAAGATGCAAGAGAGGCAGACATGCAGACAGCAATATCGCTACAGACGCGTTGTGCTTCACGTTTTCTTCATGATTACAATTTGACATTCAGAAAATAATTAAAGGAATCATTACATTAAACTGACCATTTACTGTAACTATTGGAACAAAGCGAGCAAGCAAACTAATTTGCAGCAGAAAAACAGACAGGATTCTTGTACAGTCTTACTTCTCTGAAGTGTAGGATCAGGATGTAGTAGCAATACAATGACATCACTATCGCACACTTTGAGCCGCAAGTTACATGTGTTTTATCACCATTTTGGTTGTAAAGCTGAGGCAGGGACTCAAGATCATTTGCTGAGTCCTAGAGTCTGTGTCAGTGAACAATCTCTGATTCAGGAATCCGTGGCTTGAAGCTGTCGAGTCCTGCTGATGCAGTGTATCTCCGTGATGATCTAACTTGTCTGAAATTCCATTTATAGAAAGGAAGACTAAGCTAAGCTAGATAGCTGTTCAGGATTTTCTTTTCACTTGACATTGATGAACTAATGGAAGCAGTTTGCCTTCCTCATGAAGCCTTTGAGTATCTGTAGCACCTCCAACAAAAGTCCCATTGACAAACACTCTTGGGACCTATCAGGAAATGAAAATTGCGTTAGTTACTTATTCGAAAAAAGATAAAAATTTAAGCCAGCCTACGTGGTCTTGAGTATGCACACAATAATGATGTCCTTACATAAGCATATTTAATAGTACTGTACAACTCATGTTTTCACAGTATTTACAGAGATGGGAAACTTCATGTGCCCCTCAAAAGTGGGTAAAGATCATTGTATGGGAGATTGTAATGAATTCAAATAATTAAGTGAATATATAAATCAAGAAATCACAAGTGTTAAACATAATGGATCAAATATACCTACACAAATTAAAACTTTCAATACTTAAGTTATCTTAGTGTCTGTATGGAAAAGATCACCTCAGAGAGACAGGCAGAAGGACTCAAGATGAAGAGATGGTACAGAACTTAGGACCTTCTATCCTGAGTTTACTTATCTCAAAAAAAAAAATGAACTTGATATGGTCATAACCCATGAGGAACGTACATGGTTTAAGTTCTTGCTTTGATTGTTACATACAAGAAAATATACTTACTGTTCTGCCGCCAGTCATCTGTTCAAGAATGTCTTGGAACTGACTTCCATTTGCATTCATGTCCAGTTCTACAGCTGTATAATTTACATTCATACCCTCAAAAAGATTTTTTGCCATTTTGCAGTAGCCACATGTTGTTTTAGAGAAAATCACCACACAGTTGTCTGAAATAATCTCCTGTACATTCAAAAGAATGTTCAAGTCAGCCTGCTTTGTTTTTAAGCTGGTGCATTTCAGCAGTATCAAAAGTCACGAAAACAAATACAGAAATTAAAAATTGCTATTATAGTAATAAATAGAGGAAAATCACTCTGTAAAAGGCTTTCTGAGGTATTTTTAACAGGAATAACAATGGAGTTGCCAGCCATGCTACAGCGCTGGCTGGCTACTTCTGAAGAATCTTCTGAAACACTGTACGTTATTCTTGGTTTTAAAGGTAAAGTGAAAAGCTAATTTAGCTTTTAAATTTTCTCCACTTCTAACCTAGAGCCACAAGAATCTTAAGGGGAAGAACGAGCTACTGTTTTTTTAAAAACAAGGAGCAGAACAGTGACTTCTATGCAGGCACCTGTCAAGAAGGTATCATGACCTGTATGGTGGGTGCAAAACATATCCACCCCACATTTGTCCTGAAGACCTCTATGGTGACCTAGCACCTCCTGTAGGGATGCGTCCCATACATCAGAATAAAAACTGCTTGCTACCTGCCTGCTAAGGAAGTCACTCTCGTCCTCAAAAAGTGCAGCTGCACTTGGCCAGATCCCAAAGAACATCTGCGCATGAGTGCAGTAGGCAGTGAGGCACAGCTTCAGCAGTTTGCAGACCTCCGTGAAGATAAAGTGACTTCTGCTCCGCTTAAGCTTTTTGGTAAGAGGTGTGCTCTATACTTTGAGTAGAATACCTGGAATCAGGTAAAACTGAGCAGTATCTAACTTTCAGGAATGCTGTGATCTTCTCATGGGAGTGGAGAAATAGAGTTGGCATTAAGGATCTCTGCCAGAAGCACTGCTGGCACTTCTGAAGCTGTGTAGGACCTGCACTTGACTCTGAAATGGAGAAGGATTGTGGAGCACATGGTATGACTGCCCTGGAATGGTGCCAACCTTCAACCCTCTTCTGCTCTGCAGTCACACACCTACAGTCTGCCAAACAAGCTGCATCTCCTTGAATTATTTAGTGCAGCTCTCCCTGTTTGTAAGGCAAACAGTATACGCTGGTGGCAAGCAGAGTGACAAAACGGGTTCTGAATGGGAGAAGGAAATACCCCTATTACTTTACTGTAAAGTGAAGGTGATTTCAGGCTTTGATTTAGTATCAGCAAGTCAACTTCAAAAAACAACTTTTTAAATATTTACATCAGTCTTTTTACAAGGTTTAATCCCCAGTGTTGATAGCAGTACTGAATTTGAGTATAAGTCTGAAAAAACGTAAAATGGCTACAGCCTAGGAAGATCAGGATCCAGGGCTGTGGATAAACAGCGCTGTCAGTATTACTTAATAAACATAAGAATTGGGTTCAACATGGAAAAATAATTACATAATGTATCTGTATAAATCAGAAGAGCTTTGAAGTAACTATGGCTTTTACAAATGTTGCAAATAACAATCGCATAAATAATGTTACCTGTATTTGATTCACAGCAGCATCATTAGACAATCTTACAGAAGTAGGCAGACTGTTCCCCATTCTAAAACTAAAAAAGAAATCGAAGTCAGATACTTGAGCTTTCAAACAAACGATACATTTTATAGTTCACAAATTAAAGGCTAATGTCATAGTGTTTTCTTTAAACATGCAACCCGGTTTCTCCATTACACGTAAGTTTACTTTAGCTGCAACACCTTGCAGCCACGCTGATTCTTACGTGCCTGCAGGAAGATGCGAATAAAGATACGGACGGCGCAGACTATAAGACTAATCAAACCGGCTGCCTCTACAAAACGGATTTCCCCCCCCCCCCCCCCCCCCCCCCCACCTTCACGCTAACACAGATACAAGGGTCTAATCTCACGCCGCGGCCCGACTCCCACAGCAGCGACCCCGCTCGGCCCGGGCCCCGGCCAGCCGGCCTGCCCCCAACGAGCAGCAAGCAGCCCCGGCGCCACCCGAGCGCACCCACCCCTCCGTGGGGTTCCCACCCGCGGGCCCCGGACCCCCCCGCGGGGCTCCCACCCACCCCCGGGCCGCCGCCGCCGCCCGGCGCAGCGCCCCCTGCAGGGCCATGGCCGCCAAGAGGAAGGGGCGGGGCTCCCCCGCAGTCCTCCCGGCGGTCCGATCCCCCGCTCCCAGGCCGGCCCCCGCCCCTCGGCTGAGCGCGGGGCTGCCCGCCGCGTGCCGGTGCCCCGAGCCCGCGGCGCGCCGCCCCGCCCCGCCATGGCGGGGGGTCCCCTCAGCTCTGAGTCTTGTTTTGTCAGTCCCGGTACGTGCTACTTACAGGTAGAAAGGTGGTGCAGTTTCGCCTTTTGTAGATTTAAAGCGGGATAATGTTTTTTGACAGAGGTGAGAAGTGTTGAGAAAATTCCGAGCATCAAAGATTAGGTCAGGCCGTCACGAGAGCTTCCTTCCAGGCCTAAAATCCCCGAATCGGTGCCCCCCGGGGGGTGCTGGTCGGGCTCTGCTGGGCAGCGCCACGCAGCCCCTTTCTGTGGGCTGGAGCCGAGGAAGTGACGGCGGAAGGCTGAGGGGCAGCGCCGGGCCTGGCTCCGGGGAGCAGAGACGCTGCCGGGGCTCCCCCGCCACCCCGGCTCCGCGCCGCCAAGCAGCGCTCGCTCCTGGCGTTACCGGGTTTCCTTCTTCAGGTACACAGGCCGTAAATGTTTTCATAACTCCTTTTTTTTGCGATAGTCTTTCGACGGCTTATTCTTGTCAGAATTAAATCACGTTTTTGTGGGGGTAAAGAAGAGATTTTTCTTTTATTTTTCTTTTATTTTCTTTCTTTTTTCTTTTTTTTTCTTTTTTTTTTTTTTTTTCCGCCTCCATACCGCCACGGGACACGACCCCGACCGGCGTGCCTTCCCGCCGCCCGGCGCGATTGGCTGCGCTGCCCGTGGCCCCGCCCCCCCACCGCTGCCGTCAGTCACGTCCCGCCCGGCCGGGGGGAGGTGCCTTCGAAGTGGCGGGGGCGGGGCCGCGTCGCTCCCATGGCAACGGGTTCGGCGTCGCGCTCCCTGCCTGCGCTTGCAGGAGGCCGTGGCAGCAGCGTGGCGCAGGCGTTCGCGACGGGCAGCCCCGGGCCTGGCGGCGGGGTCCTCGCGCGGCTGGCAGAGGGGCCGGGCCGGAGCGCGGCGGCGGCGGCCGGCGGCTCCTGAGGGAAGATGGCGGACGTGCTGAGCGTGCTGCGGCAGTACAACACGCAGAAGAAGGAGATCGTGGTGAAGGGCGACGAGGTGATCTTCGGCGAGTTCTCCTGGCCCAAAAACGTCAAGACCAACTATGTCATCTGGGGGTGAGCGGCAGGGCCGGTGCGGGCGGCCGCTCGCACGGGGAAGGGACGGGACGGGACGGGCGGGGGGAAGAAGTTGCCCCGAAGTTGCGGGGGGAGCGCCCGGGCTGCGGGGCTCCCGCCGCGCGTCGCCTCCCGCCGCGCTGCGGGCGGCCTGGCTGGCGCCTCCCGGCCCGGCCCGGCCCCTCGGGAGCGCCCCGGGGCCGGCCGCGCTGTCCCGGCGGAGGCGCTGCCCGGGCGCCCGCGCCCCTTGGCCGGCGGGCGGGGGGGCGATACCCGCCTCCCCTGCGCTGCCGGCAGCCCGGGCGGGCAGGGAGCTCTCGCCGCTCCCTTCGGGAAGGTTCCCAGGGTCCCGCCCGGCGCCCCTGCCCTGGGCTGGGAGGGCAGCGTGGTTCCCGGCGAGGCCCTGCCCGGCTCTCGGCCTGTCCGTGCGGCCCGGAGCGGTCGGAGGGTCGCAGCGGCGCCGGGGGTTGCAGTCTCATGCGATGAGATCGCGTGGGACGAGATCCTGGGTGGAAGACGGGCGTTACGTACTTGCTGTCTTAGTTTATTCGGCCAGCTTTGCTTCTCCCGGAGCCTTGTCCGGGTGTAGGAAAGTCAGTGAAGCCCAAATCGACGCACTCTGGGGCCATCTGCGAGCCCTGCTGATCTCTGCCGGCACCTCGCTCTTAGCTGGGGCCTCTTCCTGGGCTGGACCGAGCACAGACTGTTGCCTGCTTGATCTTACCATAATAAACAAGTAGAGAGAGTTTTTCTGTTGCTTAGATGATTCCATTAGATAAGAGGCTTATTTTTAGAGAACCTTGCAAAAATGAGGTTTTGTACCTATTGAATTTTCTAGTGTGGTATGTATTGTGTACAATGCAAGGGAATTCTTCATTCCTCTTTCCTCAGAATCTAGCAGCTGCTTGCTCTTAATGTCTTAACTAGAAGGATTTCAATGAATCTCTTTTAAACTTGAAAGAAAAAAATGCTTATTTTTAAACATTGGATAACAAATATTTCAGGTACTGATCAAAGAGAGTACGTTATCCCGTGAAGCTTGATGGAAAGACAGAAGAACTTGCAGATTTCTCAAGAAAACCCTTGTAGTTCAGTCCTTGTGACCAGGGATTATTTTTTTTTCAGTTCTCATGATCATGATATGAATGGTAGTATTGATCCAATATCCTGACTTTTAGTTTGAGAGAGAAAGGAAAGAAATGTCTGTATGTTAATTTGAAGACAGAAGGCTTAAAACAGATTTTACTTTGCACTCTATTTAAAACTAGAAATACGCTGTTTCATTACGTATTTCAAGCTTTCAGAAACTCATTTGAAATTTATTTGTACTTCCTGGGTGGCTGGGGAGGATACTGACAGCTAGACTGAAGAGGAAGAAAAATATTTGCATAAGGAGTTAAGCTTTAAAATTCTTGAAAAGTCTTAGTTCTGTTTTTGTTGAGCGCCTGTATAGACCATTGTGGTGGTTTCCTTACTACAAGTTGCTTTTCCCAAGCAGTAACAAGTAATGTTTAACTAGACAGACAAGTTTCATTGCTCTTCTGTAGGGAGCAGAGAAACTGATATGCCAGCCTAACTCTACTACTGCTAAGGAGAGCTTGAATTAGGCCCAGAAATTCTTTACAAAAGACAGAAAGACAGCAGCTGGAGAGAAAAACTTTATTATGTACATTCAGGCAGCTTTGCCTTCACGGTCAGGAAGGAACTGTGGGTGAACAGAGGGTAGTATGAGCAGAACAGCAGTAACCTCGTAGTAGCTGTTTGTGTCCTTGCCTCTTGTGATAGACACGTTGTGGAGTTTGGAGCTTTTTTGTTGGTTTATTCGTCTGAAGTTCGTAAGGAAGTCTTGGTTTAGATCACTGGTTTCTGAACTTTTGGTAGGATCAGACTGCTACGAATTTGCAACATTTCTTGTGAACCACCATGGAATTATGTGTGTCTAATCTTTAAATTGAAGACACTGTAAAAATGAGACCAGTTCTGCAAGCCATACTCGACAGCTTTGACACCACAGTTTAGGAGCTGTTAATTTACGTAATTGCCAGACTTATGCAGGGACTTATGAGGAACACTTTCAAAAACTTTTAAGATTCAAAACTTCTTATATTCAGGTCACTTGACAGGATCCAAACTATGCTTGCATTGAGCAGTTGTTAGTGGCTTAGTTTTTTGTGAAGCAGATCTTGATTTCTGTTTTCGGTGTCAACAGCACATTTGCTGTAATTGCATCTCTGCTGCCAATCTGGAGAGAGTAATACAAGTCCCAGCAGTGGTGGTGGCATACTGTCCCTGCTAGAATTAGAAGTAGTCCCACTAGACATTTAACACTGTGGCTCCTTGAGCAGCCAAGCTGGCAGAAGTTGGCAGTGCTGCCCTGTGCTGCTTCCTCTCTGTGCTAGTGCAAGTGTCAGCCAAACAGTGAATTGGTCTGAAGAACTAAGCCAAGTTAAAACTAACCCGGGGTGGGGGGGAACAAGGCAGAAATTTATTTTAATCCAGGTTAGTTTCCAGATAATAATTATATGAATACTCCTGCTGAGATATGTAGTAGGCTAGATGGTCTAAGATAAGTGGTTTGTGTGTTTTGATCTAATGGCTAATCTGTGGCCCCTGAAGAATGATTATAGAATCTGCTTTAAAACCAAAGGAAGGAATCAATCTAGTGGAGAAACTTGTTTGCTTTGTTTACGTACCAGAGGGGCTTGTATGTACAGCTGAGTTTTTAAACAGTGAGCAGCTGGTCATGGGTATTGTAATGTGTGTGATACTCTGCATGCCTAGTCTTGTATTCTTAAAGATTGATGCTTTCTTTAGTGAATGAGACACAGGCCTTTAGTATCTCTGTAAAAATTCATGCTTTGAAACATGGAAGAGGAAATAAAGCAGTTAAATGAATTAACTCCTGCTGCCCACAGTTTGAGGGTGAATGGATGAGCAGGAAATAAGTTTCTGGTGTTAAAAACAAGCAGGTGAAACTTTGTCTCTTGCATTATGTAAACACTTTCTGCGTGGGTTTTTTTTTTTTTTTTTTAAGCTGGAGTGTTTTTTTTTTTTTTTTTTTAAGAGGTGCAATTCTTAATAGCCATTAAAGCAAAAATATAAGTACTGGACCTTTTGAGGTCTGAATGTTAAGTTTTAACTGTTAAGTAACTGATGCCATTACTAAATATGGGAAATAAGAGAATTAATTTATTTTGCTACTTTGGATGTTTGTAAATTGTCTTAAATAAGCTACTTTCAGATAAGCTTGCTTTTAGTTCTCAGTTTATTGGGCAGGTTCCTTCTGTCTGGAAAATTTGAAAGGAACGCAAACTGATGCTGAAATGTCAGTTTAGACTTGTATTTTCTCCTTGTGTACAACTGTTTGTCTTTCTGCTTTCCCTTTAATGTGTGATATCTTGTCCTCCTACTAAAATATCCTCTTAGAACCATAATGAGCATAGGGATTTCTTGTGTGTGTAGTTCAAGTGATGAAGTACCAGCTGTGCCCTGCTGAGCTTTGACAATGCCTGGGGCTTTTTAATACTGTATTTTCAAATTAATAGATAACTGTTCAGTACTTGTTTTATAAATTATGCTGTTTATTGCTAAATATTGTTAAGAACTTGAGTAGATAACCAGCTGGACTTTATATATCGTGTTCCGTGGATGTGTCACACTTCAAATAATGAGTTGTTCTGAAGTGAGATAATCTAAAATGTTTGTTTTAAAATTAAGTGACAATTGCATCAGGTGACATACACTTCAGATCCAAGTCTGTGTGGAGAAAGCTTTTGTTTCTGCCAGTGCTATCAAAGATAGCAGTGAAAGAGTAAAATACTCAAATGATTCCTTGCGGAGGAATCCAGTTCTGTTGACTGTAATTGTAAAGCTGACTTTTAGCTTCTTAGCAGTTGAAAGATACTGTGTCTCCTCCCTTTCTTCTTCAACAATAAAATGTAGGTGCACACTCGTGCCCCTCCCTGCCCTTCTCTCTCCCCCAACCCACCCCCCACCCCCTCCCCCCAGCAAATTAAGTTTTTGGAAGGAAGGAACAGTGATAGAAATATCCTCTACTCTGCTATTCACATGGTATTTCAAATCACTTATATCTCCATGTTATTTATTTATTGGTTTTCTCAGGCATGGTTATGAAAGTTTCTGCTAGTGAGTCTGGAATGGGTTATTGGACACTTTCAATCTAGATAATTAAGGGAAAGTAATTGCTTTCTTGCAGTAGTGGAATTTTATCTACAGTATGGAGAAAACAGACTTACACTTCTGTTGCATTTAGTAGATGCTTGTGTAGCTCTTTCAGGTTCAGTAAAGTTATAGTTGAATATTTTTAATTGCTTCCCCTTTCCCTCAGTGAGGTTGGCACTTCTGTGGTGAGTGTTTCGATGCTGATGGTGAGCCACCAGTAAAGCCACTCTACTTGGAGGGAAAACTCCTCCTTATGGTTTCAACAGAAATCTCTGGTTTCATCCAAATTCTGTGCCAGTCTTAAATTTTACAGTTTTGGCTTGGTATTCTGGTGGGTCCATCTTCATCGGGCATTGAGGTGAGCCAGCTAGTTGGGGATGGGGACTGG